TTATTTCTTGTAACCCCCGGGGGCGCCTTGGTGAATAAATACTCACCAATTCCCTTCTGTGCCCCCGTGATGAAACTTATAGGCAGCCACAAGGTCACCTCTCAACCTTCTCTTGCGGAGGCTGAAGAGGTCCAGTTTCTCTAGTCTCGCCTCATAGGGCTTGGTTTGTAGGCCCTTAACCATACGAGTGGCCCTTCTCTGAACCCTCTCCAGGTTATCCTCATCCCTCTTGAATTGCGGCACCCAGAATTGCATGCAGTACTCCAACTGCGGTCTGACCAGCGCCCGATAGAGGGGAAGTATCACCTCCTTGGACCTATTCGTCATGCATCTGCTGATGCACGATAAAGTGCCATTGGCTTTTCTGATGGCTTCGTCACACTGCTGACTCATGTTCATCTTGGAGTCCACTCAGAACTGACTGGGCAAACTATTTTCCTGTAATGAACTCATTTGAGATTTCAAACATTTTCCCATTCCACAAGAGGAGAAACCCAGGAACTTAGGCTTTTTGCAAAAAAACAATACACACAAAAAACCTCCATGATTTCCAAATGATGACAAAAAAAAAATCAACAAAAATAAATAAATACTGAGGGAAAGAAAGAACTGGAAAGAGTCTGAGGGAGACCCACTCCAAAACTGTCAACAACTGGGTTGTTAGGCCAGTTATAGAAGTAGACAACCAGTTATTTCATAGTTTCATAGTTTTAGGGTTGGAAGGGACCTAATAGATCTTCTAGCCCGACCCCCCGCCAGGGCGGGAGAACAACCCAAAAACACAAACAAAACCACTCACCCTAAAAACAAAAACGGGACTCAAATGAGTCCAGCCAGGTAAGTATCCAGCCTCTTCTTAAAGATCCCCAGGGTAGGGGCCAGCACCACCTCCCTTGGAAGTTGGTTCCAGCTCCTAGCCGCCCTAACTGTGAAGTAGTTTTTCCGGATGTCCAATCTGTACCTGCTCTCCATCAACTTGTGCCCATTACTCCTTGTTATGCAGCGGGGGCTAGGGGAAACAGCGTCTCCCCCCAACCCTTCTGGTTCCCCCTAGTGAGTTTATAGACGGTCACCAGGTCCCCCCTCAGCCTTCTCTTGTGGAGGCTGAATAGGTTCAGGTCCCGCAGTCTCTCACTGTAGGGTCTGCCCTGTTGTCCCCGGATCATGCGGGTGGCCCTCCTCTGGACCCTCTCCATGTTGTCCACATCCCTCCTGAAATGGGGCGCACAGAACTGGACACAATACTCCAGCTGCGGCCTGACCAGCGTCGCATAGAGGGGGAGGATCACCTCCCTGGCTCTACTCGAGATGCACCTGTGGATGCATCAGGATGGAGATTGTACAACCTCTCTGGGTAACCTGTTCCAGTGAGAATTTTTTTCCTGCCATCTAACCTAAACTTGCCTTGCTGCAACTTGAGACCATTACTCCTTGTTCTGTCATTTGCCACCACTGAGAACAGTATAGCTCCATCCTCTTTGGACTACTGTTCAGGTAGCTAAAGGCTGCTGTTAAATCTGCCCTCAGTCTTCTCTACTCCAGACTAAGAAAGTCCAGTTCCCTCAGCCTCTCTTCAGAAGTCATGTGCCTCAGCCCCTTAACCATTGTTGTTGCCCTCCTCTGGACTCTCTCCAACTTGTCCACATCCTTTCTGTGGTGGAGGGCCCAACACAGGACACAATGCTCCAGATGTGGCCTCACCAATGCTGAATAGAGGGGAATAAAACTTTCTTTGATCTGCTGGCCACACTCCTGCTAATGTAGCCCATTATGCTGTTAGCCTTCTTTGCAACAAGAGTACACAGTTGCAAACAGTACTCATATTCAGCTTATTGTCCACTCTAACTCCCAGGTCCTTTTCCACAGAGCTGTTACTTAGCCAGTTGGTTCCCAGCCTGTACTGGTGCTTAGGATTGTTCCTTCCTAAGTTCAGGACTTCGCACTTATTGAACCTCATGAGATTTCTTTTGGTGCAATCCTCCAGTTTATCGAGGTCTCTGAATCTAACCCTACTGTCCAGTGTATCTACTATTCCCCCCAGCTTGGAGTCATCTGCAAACTTGCTGAGGGTGCACTCCATCCCATCTTACAGGCCATTGATGAAGATATTGAACAAAACCAGCCCCAGGACTGACCCCTTAGGCACTCCATTTCATACCAGCTGTCAGCTAAATATTGAATCATTGATTATTATCTTCTGAGCCTGATGATCCAGCTAGTTTTCTGTTCACCTTACAGTCCACTCATCGAACCCATACTTCCTTAGCTTGTTTGTGAAAATGTTGTGGGAGACCATATCAAAAGCCTTGGTAAAGTCAAAGTATATCACATCCACTGGTGGAGCCCCAACACAAGGTATATCACATCCACTGGTCTTCCCATATTTACAGAGCCAGTCTTCTTATCATAGAGGGCAGCCAGAGGTTGGTCAGTCATGACTTTGGTGAATCCACGTGGATTGTTTCTAATCACCTTGTCTTCCAAGTGCTTAGAAATGGATCCCTTGAGGTTCTGCTCCATGATTTTTCCAGGGACTGAGGTGAGGTTGACCAGTCTGTAGTTCCCTGGATCCTCCTTCTTCCCTTTCTTAAAGATAGGCACTATATATGCCCTTTTCCAGTCATCCAGGACCTCTCCCAATCACACGAGCTTTCAAAGATAATGGCCAACAGGTCTGCAGTCACATCTGCCAATTCCCTCAGCACCCTTGGATGCATTGCATTTGGCTCCATGGACTTGTACATGTTCAACTTTTCTAAATAGTCTCTAATCAGTTCTTTTGCCACTATTGTCTGCTCACCTCATGTGCTGCCAGGCACAATAGTCTGGGAGCCAACCTTGCCTGTGAAGACTTAGATGAAAAAGGCATTGAGCATTTTCAGCTTTTTCTGCATCATCTGTCACTAGGTTGCTTCCTGCATTTAGTAAGGGACCCACACTTTCCCTGATCTTCCTTTTGTTGTTGACATACTTGTAGAAGCCCTTCTTGTTACCCTTCACATCCCTTACTAGTTGCATACCCAATTGTGCTTTGGCCTTAAGTAAAAGGCCTAGGGCCTAGGCCAGTGGTTCTCAAACTTTTTAAGCTCAAGGTACCCCTTGTTATACTCATGGCACCCCTAAACTGTTTTAAGGCACCCCTCAGAAAATGACAACTCTTAGTTTTCACTTGTTTTTGATTACAGAAATAGAGCAAATCTTCTGTTGGAAAGAATTCCTGCTTTGACCATGGGTTTCGATTAGCTGACCACCTGAAGTCCCTTCCAACCCTAATTTTCTAGGATTTTGATTCTAATTCAGAAAGATTGCAACAGATCAGAATGTTTTTAACACCATAGATTCCTATTTGAAATCCCTGGGTTTACCTTGGGAATCATGTTTGTACACCTAGCAGTGCTACTAATATTGCACTAATACCCTGCTGCACCCTGCAAAGTATACCAAGGCATCCCATTGTACTGTGGTTGAGAATCACAGTAGGCCCTCAGAGGAGGATAGTAGGAACAGAAAGGGAAGAACATGAAATATTGTCAATTGACAGTTTAAATCTGATAAGTCTACTCTGGTAGGCCACAAATCCTTCTGAAACTCTCTGTGTACTTTAAGTATAATATACCAGCTTTCTGGAGATCCACATTAGTGACAGAATATAGCAAGTCTATAGCTCCTTATTATTGAAAAGACCATTTACTGTTGTTAAAGTTGCACCCAAACTAAACCCAGGTCCTGCTACCTCCAAAGTTTGCCAAAGTTGGCTTTTGAATCAAGTCTGATCTGTGTTTGCAGTTTTGACATTCTCTGAATATTTTACAAAAGTAATTTTCGGTAAGGGGAAGCAATAGCAGATGTCTTAGCAGTGTTCTCATAGAGAAGATAGGGCAATCAGTGTTTATATAATAATGTCAGCAGGATGGAAAATAAACAGGAAGAATGGGGGGGCTCCAAATACAGTCACAGGATTATGATGTAATTGAGGTTCTTGTGATGTGGCTTGGTAGTTAATATGACTGGAGAACTGTCATGGACGGGTATAACTTGTTCAGGTAAGACAGGCAGGAGGGGAAAAGCAGGTGTTGCCGTATATCTAAAGACAACATACATGTGTTCTGAAGTTCCACTTCAGTATCAAGCTGAGGCCTGTTAAAAGCCTCTGGGTAAAAGTCAGAGGGAAGAACAGCAGTGGGAATGTCATGGTGGGCATATGCTATGTAATACCAAATCAGGAGAAAGAGGTGGACTTCTTTAAACAGCTTCCAAATCATAGGACCTGAGTCTCATGAGAGACTTTAATTATTAGGACATGTGCTGGGAAGGAAACACAGATGAGTACAAGCAATCCAGGGAATTCTTGGAGTGTGATGAGGATAACTTTTGATACAGATGATAGAGGCGCCAATTAGTGGGGAAGTTCTTTTCAACTTGCTGAGTGATCACAGACAGAGGAATTGGTTGAGAATGTGAAAGTGGAGGATACCTTGGATGACACTGACCACATAATGATGGCGTTCAAGATGCTAAGGAGAAGAAACAAGGAGAGCAGCAGAATAAAGACACCAGA